TGTGTGTGCGCGTGCGTGCGTGAGTGCGTGCGTGTGTGTGTGTGTGTGTGTGTGTGTGTTCCCTGCCAGTGAACCGCTACATGCTGCAGCAGCAGCCAGCTCACCTGCCTCCCATCTCCGGCCGTCGTCAGTACTCATGTCAACTCCAGCAAACAGGTTGTGTCTGAACTCCGCCATGCTATCCGCCTCTGGCAGACGACAGGAAATGCCGGAAACAATGACGTCATCTGCTCTCTGCGTAAACCATAGATATTATAGAATACAGAAAGATAGCCAACTCCACCCTTAGATAGATGTGCATTCTATATCTATGGCGTAAACAGGGTAAGCGACAACGGCTCATTCTTAAAATGCAACCATATCACAAACTTGAATGGGGCGGCAGATTCGTTATGACCCCCTCTACACGTAAATGCATACGCTTGGAGTAATAATTAAGCTGACTTAATTATTACTCAGCTTAATTTATGATAAGTCAGCATATTACTCCAAGGTATACGTAAGCAGCAGCAGGAAGCCCCTTATAGTCATGGATTTGCATTCGGGCTGGTAGCTGCAGTTAATTGATGAACCAACCAGTCAGATGAAGACGGAGACCCCGGACGGAGACGCTTGCAGCAGATTCGGTCGTAATTAACAATATAATGTCAACTTGCTATCTCAAAAACATTTAAAGAAGTAGCTGCTCTCATTATATAGCGCGTCCGCTGCGGCATGCATATACGCTAACATGTATGCACAGTGTCACAACAAATGATATCAGTATAATAATAATATAATAATTATCAATTGATATAGTATAAACGAATATAGGCTATGAATTAAAATCAAATTAAACAATAAATAAATATTATTACATTTTTACGATTTAAACTAGGCTAATAGGCCTACCAATTTAATGTTTAATTGGATTTAGTAGGCCTATTTATAATCGATAAACCTATTGGTTATTTTATTTCAAGAGATTCAAGGGATCACACGATGATATCATCAATGCCTGATTACCTCAACGTCATCCTGGTCGAGCAGGGCACATGGTGGCATCATGGCAACCGGCGTGTTTCCATTGAGACCATCGTGGGCAATGGCGCCGACGGGGTCCTGGATTGAGTGCGTTGGCATTCCGTTGAAATCCGCTTCTGATGTACGATCAGCTTCCGTGAACCTCTGCACGAATTCAGGTGCAGCTCGTTTCAATTATCACCAGTTTAGGTTTCTTATTTTAATTCCCGAGTGGTTACATATAATCCATTATGTTTGGTCGCTACCAACCTATGGGGAAATCCAGAGACTGTGTGGGCATGCACAAAGGAACCATGCAAGGTTGCTCAATTTTCGACACAGTTTAATCAAAAATGCGCAGAAATCAAGCCAAAATGAAGATGAGACGGATATAGTTCCTTGAACGCACACGATTTCTGTGATACACGCGTACAACGGCATGCACTTGCCACAGCATTTAAACCATTGCTTACGAGTGAACAAGCTACGATCGCACCAATTTCCACGTGTGGAGTGTGACGCAGTCACGTGACGCTAATGAAACTAGCTTGCGTGAAGCTGGTGACCTAGATAGGCGGTGACAGTACGCTAGGATGACCAAACATAGTATACGTGTATACAAGTATACATACTGCAAAATTTGATCCCACATGAAACTGGCTACTGGCAAACCATTGTCTAAGCTCGTAAGATCCGCCGAAAACCTTGTCTGACTAAGGCAACTATAGCGACCCGATTGTCATTGCGCCTGTGCATTAGCATAGCGGCACGAGCTAACGCTCCATTAGGAGTGTTCCCAACTTTGATATCATTAATGATTAATGATTAATGATTGATAATCCTAACCATAACCCTAACAACATTTAACCACAAATTAATATATGACCATGACCATATATATATGTTATTATGACCATTAATGACATTAAAGTTGGGAACACTCCTAATGGAGTATCACCCGCGGCAGGGGAGGGCAGGATGAGCATACGGGGGCATACGCAGTTGTGTAGGTGGCAGCTGGGTGGCAGTACTTCGCGGAATGCTTTTTTAGTCCTTCCCACCCCCCACATCAATCGCGCGAAATTTTATTTTTGAGAGCGCAACAATAAATCAAAACGTTTTTATCTTAGCTTGCGGCGGGAAACGGGTGCAAGGTGATGACGCGTGCGTGACGTAAGCAGCCACTGTCGCTGAAGGGGTCGTTGTCGTATCAGGTACTACATATATGTACCCGAGGTACATATATGTATACACAAAGTGTACCAGACCTGTACTACAGAAGTGTACCCTAACCCTAACCCTAACCCTAAACATACCTCATATAAAAATATAAATAAATACTAAACAACCTAAAACTACCTCGGGTACATATATGTAGTACCTGATACGACAACGACCCTTCGTGCGCCACTGTTGCGCGCGGACGAAGGCACACACACTCGTGGTGGGCGGTGAACGCTCGCAGGCGTGGGTAACAACGTTCATGAAGTGTGATGGGTGAGTGATGGTATAGCGAATGGAATAGTAATGGTCCAGCAAGTTGTTGATGTTGTTGCTGTCTAGTAAAGAAAGAACCGAGCTGTCGCTTACGCGAGAAGCAGGCGGGGGGAGTAACTGATGAGCTAGAGTTATGTGGTGGGAGACACCGAGCTGTCACGAGAGGGTGGGGGACTGACTGCCACACGGAAGGGGAGAAGAGCAACACTGCCAGGCTGAAGGGAAGGAGGGTAACACCGTAACACTGCCACACACACACACACACACACACACACACACACACACACACACACACACACACACACACACACACACACACACACACACACACACACACACACACACAC